GTCTTCAGTGGTGAATGAGTTAAGAAATATATTGCATTCCCTAATTATAGCTTTGAGAAATGCTACCTAGCTTTCCATACAAACACATAGTTGGGGACTTATACAATGGAATGCATCTTGTCTGTGAAATTTATATAAAAAGTAACATGTCTATTTTGATATTTTGTAGGAGAAGAGGATGAGCAAAGCAATAGAAATAATGATTACACATGTAGATACAATACGTATGGTGCATGAACGGGTCAACTCAGAACTGGAAGAGGCTAGGTAAGGAGTGACAATTCTGTTGTATGCCATTTTGAAATTCAAATTTCGTATTCCATGAAGGGATTTTATGAAATGATGCAACAGTAGTTCATAGTTGAACACCATTTGGCCTTCTACTTCTTACTTCCTTATTTAAGATTATTGGGTATTTTGATTTGAAATTGGCTTGTACATGTCCTGAAAAGTGCTGGAATTGGTCAGTGCTTGAAAAATACTGACCCATTCCAGCAAATCTTGTTTCTTTCCAAGCAACACTTTTAACTGTGATCTCTCTTTTTCTTTCAGAAAATTGTTACAAGACAGTCGTCCTTTCGGAAGTGCTGGTTTAGAGATAGGTAAGCTGAATGTATCATCTGTTATGTAATCATGGAAATGCCAATTTGCCTAGAGCACTTAAATATCTATAAGTACACATTTTATATGTATATGTGCATTTGATGGCTGTATAAAACTATAACGGGTATTAGCATTGGACAGATTATCTTGACCCGCTGTGTCAATTTCAATTTTATTATATGGATCCAGAAGTGATGTAGCAAGGTTTATTTGTCTTGTATAAAATTAATTTATATATGTTTATGGAACAGGAACTAAAGCTCTCATAGAAATGACATAAGAGTAGCAATTGATTCATGAAATTAACAAACTTGTAATGAGGCCTAGTCCTGAGAATTACATTAAAAGAGGCCAAAAGGAGACTAGATAATCTCGCAGATACATGTGTAACACATAACTAACCCCTTTGAAGTGTGTATTACATTTGGATGTCAAATTGTTCAGAAGTATTAAGATGTATAGGTCCATAGCTTTTTTCTAATTTAAGTTCATCCATGTATATTTTTCGTAAGCTAAGGAATAAAATATGTAATATTTATCTTTAAAATAATCTTTTGTTGATGATTTTACAGGTGATTTTCCACACATGAGTAAACGATCTTTGTCCCTCTCACAGCAAGGCCAAGGGTTCCAGTCACGGGTACGTTATCACAGTTTTACATTTAATTATAATCTTAAGTGACTTTCAAGTTTAGTTAGCAGCAGATCACTTAATAGTTACATGTACCTTAATTAAGCTCAAATTGTGAGTATAGGTTTTAATTTTGAATACTAGGATTCACAAATTAGACACAGGGAGTAATACAGCCAGGGGCTTTAAAAGTAAATTAACCTGAAGGGAATTACAAATGGAGATTACTATAAATCATATTTCTTAGCATGTAGTGTATTTCTTAACCCATTAACCCCTAAAGTCATATATGAACCTTACCAAATCAAAGACTGGGCAAGTCCA